TGACCTTGGGTGGTTCTAAGTAACAGCAGAGTGCTTCAGACCTAGGGGCCAGATGCAATTCTCCAGACATCTCTATCTGGCCTTTGAGACTACCCTCCAGGCCAAGCCCCCCTCTCCAGTCCACACCCCTCATTGGCATTGCTTCACACCCTCCTTGAGGTTTTTGCCTGATATAGGTCTCCTTGAAATCTGATAATGCGTCTTGCTTGCTTGGGTGGCAGATAGGGAAAAAGGAATGAGTGTATGTAGAAACTAGCCTGCTGTAAAAAAGATAACATTTATATTACTTGCTCTATAATTTTGCCACTTACGGAAAAGTGGGATTAAAGTTTGTGGAAGGAAGGAAGCGTAAGAATATCTATTACTCCATTGGATTTCCTTCTCCAGGGTAAAATCATCATCAACATCTACTGCTCTTGACCAGGATTAAAATAATGTGACGTTTCCTTCTTGCATTCCCTGCACTGCTCATGGTTCTGGTGCCAAATTCAGCCAACAGGAAAGATTTAATCCATGAAAATTCATTAGACACAGTGCAGGCAAATGATCAGAGAGCAACAAATGAAACACTCAACCAAGTCCAGCAAACAAAAACATGGGAGAAATCTCTGAAACAACTGTCTGCTCAATGCTCTTCTCCCTTCTTTTAACTAAAATATATTAGGTCACCCATTGCTTTCTTCTTAAAAAATCCCCCAACCCAGTCATACTGAGGAGGAGACACCACAGATAATCTACGTCAGCAGTACATAGTACCCATATCCCATCTCCATCTATCTGCTAAATGCTATTACTGTATCTGATGCTATATTCTTTCAGTCTTTCTTCATTCACACTACAAGCTGTCCCACTCATCTTGATGGGTGGTGTTACATAACAATTTTGCTTCCTCAACTTCCAAAAATGAAGTTCCAAAATGAAAATTATTTTTTTAATAAAACTAGAGCTACAAGAAATTAATGTAAACATATCTGCTTCAGATTTTGGAGACCTGAGTTCAAATCCTATCACTGCCATAGGCTTGGGAACAATAGCGATCTACCTCACAGGATTGTTTTGAATGAGGAATAATAAATAAATAAGGTTTGTAAAGCACTGTCATGCTGTAAGTGGAAAAGAAGTGATAATATTAATAAAGCCAGTGGTTTATAATGTCCCAGTGTCAAGCTTAAATCCCACCTTCTTCCCACCCCGCCACCCCTCTCGAAACAGTGAAGAGGAGCACAAAGAATCAAATTGTAGATTATCTTCAGGTTATTACTGGGCTGTGAGCTTTCTTGTCAGACTACCAGCAGAGGCAAAAGCTTTCTGAATCAGGCCCTTATCATTTAAACCATATTACAATTCAACATGAAAAATGACTCGCTCCAGATTGCATAGAATAAAGCATCTTGAGATGCAATAGAAGCACCCAATTTTCAATAAAGATATTAAACCTAAGCCTCAGAAAAAAGGAGGGGGGAATAATTACATCATTTTTTGCTTTGAGTTTTAATGTTAAATGTGTCAATTTATAAAGCTAGGTGAACATCCACAATTCATAAGCAGACTGCAGCTAATTAGATCCCCTTTGATCCTTTATTTTTGCCCGGGAGCTTATTTAACAACTTTTCACAAAACCCAAGGTTTTGATGCACCCACAAATGGACTGGTAGAGAGCTCAGCAGGGAGTGATCCCTCCCCCCCACACACACTCCTGCAGCTCCCCTGAAGTAGGTGCCCATCTTTTCTGAAAGCATGTGGTACTATTACTGATGAGGATGCTTCCTAGATGTGAAACATTCCTATTTAAGATATTTGGATGGAAGGCTGTATAGAATGGCAAAGCATTCTAATTATTTGTGATAGGAATGATATTTGTCTCCTCCCTATGAATGAAACCCCGTTAGAAAGAGAACCTCTTCTTTTTTAAAAAAAGAAGTGGGGGTAGCAAAAGAAGTGATAACTGATTCTGTGCCAGTTCACACAACCTATATTTAAGGTTTCAGACATGGGCTGCACAGGCCAGGTAAGACTATTTGCTGATCCAGGCCAGTATGGTCTACTCTACTCTGACTGGCAGCAACTCCCAGGCAGAGGATATCTTTCCCTTCACCTGCTACCTTTACACTTTTTAGCTAAAGAAGCCAGGGTTCAAAACTGAGACCTGTAAGCAACAGACTTCAGTCTTTTTCAGACCTGAGACCCACCATACAACACACACCCATTTCATTTCTTCATTTTTAATTGGTTGCATCTACCCAGGGATAGGGAACCTATTTCAGCCTGAGGCTTAGAACTTGCCCAGCCTTCCAGGGGCCTCCTTCTAATGCTGGGTGAGGCAATGTGGGCAGGCAAAAATACCCCCCTTTCCCCTCCAAAAATGAAAGTGTGTGTATGTGTTTGTTTGTGTGTGTGTGTGTGTGTGTGTGTATGCCCATTGCCACAAACACAAGTTAAGTTATTATTTGTGCAAGTTATGAGGTTCAACTTCCATGCCTGGAGCATACACAAATCTTCACGATGTTCTGATGAAGGTGAAAACTAGTAAAAATCACCTGACCAAAAGGTTGGGCAGTAAATTGGGAGAAAGCCCACCAATGGGGAGAGAGCCCGGAGCAGCACAAGGCAGGTCACCAAAATAGGAAAACTTCAGAGATGGGCACTTAGCGCAGAGAGGAGAAGAGGTGTAAATTGTATTTACTCTTGGGTACCTTATCAGACAGATTTTATTAAAAGCCAGGGAGTGGGCGGGGGGAACAGGACTTGTGGGTGGTTAGGCAGGGGTCTCTGCAGGTTGCCCTGATTTCCTTATTGAACTTGACGGGCCTTACTTCTATTCTGAGCGGACGTGTTATGGGTTTGTGTTGCCAAGGGGGTTTGATCTATCCATGGAGAAACGCTACCCTTGAGCAAAGGCCTTTAGCAGCCTGTTTAGGCACAGGTCAAAGACACACATGCTGAGGCTACTGACGTTTGCTAGATGCTAAGTGCTCCCTGCTGCTCTGATTGTACTTCTGGTACTTATGTAGCTTCCCACGTCCGCCACTGTTGTTTTTTCAACGATGGTAGGAGGAAACCTTGGCAAACAACAGCAAGGTTAAAGCTTAGCTCGACAGCAGTGTCCCATCATCTTGTGCAATTCTTCCTTTCTTTCCTTTTTGGTCTCCTTTGATGTTTTCAATTAAGCTATTGGTTGCGGGCAGCCCCTTTTAGCTCTGGAGGCTGCAGAGCATGTGTCCTCATAGCAAAGAATGTAGGCAGAGGAAAGTGAGCTGGAGCTGCCGGTAGCTATGCCCCTTTGAAAGACTCAGGGGCCCGGTCAGAAGTGGAGCCGATGCTGAGGAACCTGGGATGTGGGATGAGAGCTCCCCTCAGCACCTCATTACTCACAGCCTGCTGAGAGTCACTCCTCACTGGTGTGTCCAGCTGCAACGTCATAGGAGGGAATGTGGATGGGAGGAAACTGAAGAGGCGAGGGAGACAGCGAATGCATTGTGCCCCAGAAGTAAATCCCACTGAATTCAATCAGACCTACTTCCTAGTAAGCATGCACAGGATTGCAGCAGTGGTAAACGGGGCAATGGCAGGTGGGCCCTTAATGAAATTGCTAAGCCTCACACTATGAATCTCCCCCTCTATTTAAGCTAACAGAATGGAGAAAGTGGATAGGGAGAAGGCGGCTTTCTCTGTCTCACATAATACTAGAACTTGAGGACATCCAATGGAGCTCAAGCTTGGAAGATCCAGAAAGCACTTGTTCACCCAACACATAGTTAAACTATAGGATTCAAGATGGAGTGATGGCCACCAACTTGGATGGGTTTAAATGAAGAGGATTAGACAAATTCAGAGGATGGAGCTACCAAGGGTTACTAGCTATGATGGCCAGAGGCATAACTTGGCTCTCTTGCACTCTTGGCAAGGAGATGTTGGCCACCCAGAGCAGCAGAGGAGCAGCCCGGGGAGTGTGCGGATGAGTGGGTGGGTGGGCTCCTAGTCACTCTGAGCCAGAGTGGAGATATGCCATTTTTGTGCCCTCCTGGGCTTGTGCCCTTGGCAGGAGCCAGCCTGGCCAACCCCCAGGTACGCCCTTCATAACAGCTATGAGCATTTGTAAAGTGGGGAGAGTGTTGTTCAGGTTCTGCTTGGGGGCTTCCCATGGGCATCTAGTTGGTCATGGTCAGAACAGGATCCAGCATGACTCTGCTTATATTCTTATGGGTGGCAAAAAAAGGTAATGGTGGTGGGTACTCTTTGCCTGTAATTCAAGCAGCCAAAGGCAGGGGTCCTAGGTGTACTATATACATCACCTTGTCGTACAACAACCCTGTAAGGTAAGCCAATATCAATACTGCAAATGACGATGAGATGCTAAGGCCACCTAGTGAGAGCAGAGCAGAGGCACAATTCAAACCAGGTGGCTTCTTACTTAATACATTGTTAAGAGGTCCCTTAGCCATTACTCTACACCCATTTGCTAAGATAATGACTATGTTTCTGAGACATAATAAAATAATTATTCTTAATATACACAACTCTTAGAAGATATCTGAAGGCAGCCCTGTTTTTAATGTTTGACGTTTTACTAAGTTTTTATATGTGTTTTAAGCTGGCCAGAGTGGCTGGGGAAACTCAACCAGATGGGTGGGGTATTATTATTATTATTATTATTATTATTACAACAACACAATTCTTAAATCGTAAGTAGAGATCTAAGCCTTTCATTATCCTGTTCCTATAGATTTTTACACATCTCTTGTTCACAAACCGTGTCAGCCTTCTAGCATGAAGAACTCTGAAAACTGAACACCTTACTCAAAATTCTAATCCACAGCATCTTTCATTTTTTAAATTATGATTTGTCAGTCCCAGTTCCATCTTTAAATTGCACCAGCTTCTGTGAAACATTTGTCCCAATGGCCTTCCTTACCTTTGCTCAGATGGTCTCCTGGCCAGTTATATTTTCTAGTTTAATAATCTTCTTCCTTCTCTCCTCCTCCTCAACGTTAAACCATTCCTCACTGGAACTGAAGGGGGGAGAAATGAGTAAGCAAAAAAAAAAAAAAAAAAAAAAAGGAAAGGAAAGGAAAGGAAAGGAAAGGCATTAGGAGGAGGTTCTAAGAGATTTTTTGCCTCTTTTATCCAGTGCTTTAGATCACAATATTAATTATTTAGAAGAAACCACTTGTCCTTTGCCTGATAACAAATGTAATGTATTAACAAAATCAATACTGTGTATCAGTGGCGTACTGCTTTGTATTTTACAGTATCACTCTGCTACCCTTGGGGCAGCAGGATACAAGTGATATTAACCTTGCATCCTTGTGATTATATGGATTCTCCTTCCAGACACTGCTGAAAAAAATCACAAAGCAATTTGTGACAGAAGTAAAAGGCTTAGTAACATTCCCAACATTTTCCTCCATAGTGAAGTATCCATGAGGAACACAGAGGATTTAAAACAACTATGAAGATTTTGCATTGCAATGCAGCCAAATGTCCCAGCCACAAAATCTTGCTTTTATCACAGCACTTGGAAGAAACTTAAGTCACTTTTGCCTGGTATAGAGTAACTTTATTATTATTTTATTTAAAAGCCTTGTGACAAACAGTTCTCTAAAGTACCAATTTTTACATACTGTATAACAAAACCAAAACTAGGCTTGTAAAAACCATTGGCATATTACAGTGAGCAACAAGAGTTAGGCAGTGATGGTAGTACATTTTTCCATTCATCCAAGTGGGTCTCTCTATAACCTGCTATGCTGTGGGAGATGCATCTATGCTCTCCTGATTGGGTGCATATTATAAAACTATGCCATGGACCACATTTGTCCTCTGGTCACTTTCAGCTGATAAGTCATTTTTTCAGCCAAAGCAAATGGTCAGACCTGTTCATACCAAGAACCTCACCGTTGCAAGTCTTGTAGTCAGCAGGAAAAGCACATCCTCATCTGGACTTTTAATAATACTGTAAAGGTAAAACTGCAGCTTGTCTGACTTGCTATATCTCCCACTCCAGATGTTTTGCACCATAAGACACGGCCACAACGTTTGAAAGAGCATCCTCCCACACTAAACTCCAACTCTGAGGTTTTGTGTTTTGTTTTTTTCAAATGATCTTCCAGCATCTGTAACCCTGGCCAAATAAAGGCAACACTGCCTTGGAAACTGTGGGGAGGGAAGTATGGAAGAAAGGGGATATATAAATTTTATAAACAAAGCAACAGCATAATAGAAAGCACCTGCTGCATGTTCTACGTGACATCCTGTTTCCGGTTAAAATTTTATCTGTACCCATTTCTGATGTGAGGAAGTCAGTCCCTATTGAAACCGTTGCAGGGTTGATTAATTGTGGTTTCACGTAGCACACCCAGCGAGTGGCCAGTGTTAAAGGCAGAGGAGCTTATAGGCCGATGCATATTTATATTTATTACATTGTTGGGACCAGGCATGCTTCTACACAATAGACATAGCACTCGGCACTCTTTGTCCATTGCATCCCATCTTCAAATCTTGCACAGTGTCGGGAGCTTTACTCTTCATGCTGGCATAGCCTCCCATTGCATTCTAGCATTTCCTGCAGTTGGGAACATGGACTGTTGTTTCTTGTGACGAGGGAGCACCAAAGATGCAGGGAATTTGTTAAAAAAATGACACCCCACAAGAGAATGTCCTACCATCCCTCCAGAGCAGATCTGGAGGCAGGACATGCTTGGGGGAGAGGGGGCAGTTCTGCTGCGCTCACAGAAGTTGTTCTGTGAATGCAGTGATACAACCATTAGGTCAGACTGCCCTTCAAATCGAGGATGTCTTCGAACAGGGCACTGTTCTCTGTAAAGCAGGACACATGGCCACCTTATTGCTTGCCTCTATCTCTGAGTTCAATCCACATTAGCTCCCTGCAGGAGAGGGTGCAACTTATGGACAGGCTTCACTCATTTCACTACTTGTTTGCTTAGAGAGGGTGAACAGGCAGGCAGCAACAGGAAAGAGCAAAGTGGAGGAGGAGAAGGAGTAGAGGGAACCAGGGGCTCCAAATATTGGCAGTGGGTCCCCGACTGTGGCCTGGGACTCAAAGAGCAGGTGCGCCACGATGCTGATGCCTGGTGCTGACTCTGGCAGTGAAGACAAATGCATGTTTCTAGAGAAATCTCGGTTAAGATCAACTTCCCCTTATGCTTTCTTCTTTCCCTTGGCCAGTCTTCCTTTCAGTTACAGAGGCAGGGAAAAACATCAGTGACTCATAAACGTCCGTCAGAAAGATAATCCAATAAAGTAAATTGGACAACAATAATGGCAGCCACACAAGCACTTTGTCTCTGGCTCTTCAGTGTCTGTTGAGGAATGGGCTGGAGTGAGAAAGGGTGTCCGTCTGCTTCAGTTCAAAGAAGGCAGAGCACCTAACCTGAAGCTGAAATTTGCAGCCGCAGAGATGGGGACATCAAATGCTGAAGCAATCTGCATGTCCTAGGCAAATCTCCAAGTAAACACTGTGCCATTTAAAGCACTCACCAGGGACACACAGGCACTCTGGCACACAGCCACTCAGCAAAATGAGGCGGAACAATTAACAGTGTGTGCTCCTGGTTGTACAGCTCTTGACACCCAAATACCTGGAAGCACTTAAGTGCGAAATCCACCTCATTGCCCCTCTTGGGGAAAGACAAGCTTCTTCTGCCAATTTTTCTGATTGGGAAGTAGAGTATCAGCCCTACAACTGGGGCCGAAACACCAGATTTGGGTGGACTCGGGCCAGAGAGAAAAGAAAAATTCCCCTTGACAGTCTCAGTGAGTTAATTTTGTTATCATATTTGTGTTGCTGCCATATATGGGGTTGGGAAGAAATTGTCCCTAACTCAGAGTGTCATGTAAGTACAGTTTTTCTCCCTCCTCTGCACCATGAGTAGCTCTAGCCTGAGTCACTGAGATCTCAGTGGGCAGTCTTAAAAGGCCATCAGTCTTAGTATACAAGCATCTGTATACTGTTAGGGGAACAGTACTAGCCTTTCTTACTGTTCCCTTTGTTGTAAGGCTTACAGTAATATCAGAAGTTTGTAGGGAAAGATGTAAGATTATTTAAAGTGGTAGGTATCACTAACAACAGCAAGGGTTTTAAGCAATGAGGACTTTTCATCGCTTCTGCTACTTATGGACTAACTCTGTTCTGTTGCAAGCAGCACCTGTAGCAGACACCTGTGTTGCAATTTATTGAATTTTGATTACTGTACCTCTGATTTTCATTTTGCTTTGACTATATTTGAACTGTATGCAGGCTGTTTTGTGGGCAGAGCCCAAATAGCTAAAACACAGCATACAAAAAAACTTTAACTAAGAGGGCTACAGGAATGGATCCTTAGCAAGAGACTTTTGGTGTGTGTTTTTTCCTAACTTACTAGATTTTCCAGGAAAAGGGTAAATGGTTGACATTTTGATGCCAACAATTTTGCATGGATACTGAGAGCCAGTGCTATGCAGTGGTCAGAGTGTTGGACTAGGACCAACCAGGGAGACCAGGGTCCAAATCCCCCCTCAGCCATGAAGCTCATCTGGTTGACCTCTGCGTAAGTCCAGGATGCTGGACTCAATGGGCCATTGGTCTGATCCAGCAGGCTCTTCTCATGGCCTTGGACCAGCCACTGTCTCTCGCCTAACCTACTTCATAGGGTTGTTGTGGGATTTAAGTGAGGAGAGGGAGAATCATATACAGCACCTTGAGCTCCTTGGAGAAAAGGTCAAATATAAATGCAATAAATAAATGGAAAGCTTGTGTGGATGAGCAGCACTGATCTCACAATATGCACCTGTATGGAAGTACCCTGCCAAAGATATATAACATAAATCCACCAGAACTCGAGAACCTGCATTTACCCACTTTCCTTACGCACCAAGCTAAAGGAAAGGCAACACACCTGAAAAGGGCAATCACTGGTAATCTACCTGAAGGGTGTGCATTGTTTTTCAAGGGTGTCCATTGTCTTTGCAAGAGACTCTTCCTGACAGATACCTTTGTCAAGGGGAATCGGAGAGGGTGGGGTGGGGTGGGAAGAGGAACAACTAAGTGAAGGCACAGGCTTGGACTGCAGCCGCAGTATTCCTCTTGCTCAGCCAATGCAGCCAAAGTGGTCAGCTCTGGGATGGCTTGGGACTTCATGGCTGCCATAATAACCATGGGGCTGTCCCAACATGTCATCAGCTTGACAAATGCTATATAGCTGTGCAAAATGAGGTTTCTGTGCCTTCTACCAAAAGCAATGTTATCTTGCCTCTTCATCTCAGAAAGCAAGTAGCTTGCTTCCAGGGATCCTTCTAATTTGTATCCTGAAAAGCAACACCAAACTGAACCAAATGAACTGCTCCAAACAACCAATGACACATACACACATACACAGCCCACCCTCCCTGGTTATATTTTTGCACTTCTAGACGGAGAATAAAAAGGAGGAGGAAAGCAAACAAGTCATGGAGGGATTTTCTGTTTCTCTAGTCAAACACGGTAAGAGAGCGGTTCAAAAGAGGCTAATTAAATTCCAAAATCCCTGAGCAAATTCATTAATAATGATTTTGAAATAAGCAGTTAACCAAGGAAGCTTTCAAGGTGGGGAATGATTGATATGGGGGGAAAGAGAGGGTGGGTGGGAGAGAGAGAGAGAGAGAAGTGGGGAGTAAGGAGAGGAAATCTCCATAATATGTGGGACAAAATACACAAGAGACTTTCCCTGGATCTGCCTGTGAGCTGTGCATATGCAAGAGCCTGTAAAGATGGGGAACACACACAAAATGCCAGAATCAACACAGCCTAGAAGAGACAACATCAACCACTATCATAAAAAGCAAAAACTGAATCCAAGATTTGACACCAATCTAAATGGCCATGCTAAGGTCTTACGCAGCTATAATGTTTTCATTAACCATGGTTAATCTAGCTATTGAAACCATGGTTAAGTATTTGTTACAAGTATGAAACTATAGTTTAAAGTGGATGGGGAAATGATGGTTTGTATTCACCATGTATGGATAAGCGGTACATTTGCACTGAGGTTAGGTCACTTATCTGCTGGAAAGCTGCTGAAGAAGGACTTGTTGATGTCTCCCAATATCCACTCTCTGAGAGCAGAGTTCAGAACATCACACTAAATTGTGCTTTAGTAGTACCTATATATGTTATATCTGCATGCAACACTGAATAAACTGTGAGCAACTTGTGACCTGTAGCTCTCAGACTAATTTCCTGGGGGTGGGGTGGGGGACAAGGAGGGAAAGAGGATTTTAAAAAAAGTTACTTTTGAAGCCAGGTGTCCTGGTTTCTTAGGTTTTTGTATTTCTCTCTCTCCATCACTACATGAATTTTTTTAGGATAGAGGAGTGAAATCTAGAAAGAGAAGGCAGGCAGGGGTGGGGGTTGCCAGTTTGATTGGCCGTGACCAGCTGCAATTAAAACTATAATTTATTGTCCTGGACTATGAGTATAATTTCAATGCAGAGAATTAAGGTTTTTCTGCTGAGATGGAAATAAAGATTAATTTTTAATTTCCTTTCTCATTGCACATTTAAGAGCAATAGACAACACAGAAAACTACAGGTCAAAATAGTTTTATGGGAGGGATGACAGTGTTCTGTTGGCGAATAATTTAATGCTCCTGCTGCCTTTTTAATATTTGACTGCAGCTCCCTCATGTGAGACGGAGGCAGTGGATGCTCTGTGCGAGAGTGGGTGCAATGCAGCAGCTAGGTCAACCTGACTTTGACAAGAGAGAGAGAGAGAGAGAGATTCCTTCTTCAGCACCTAGGCAAGTGCTAACGCTCCCTGTCATGGTGGAACTTAGTGGAGGCCCATTGGGGTCTCAGCCTGCCCACATCAGCCACCTGCCCCACCTGCCTGCCCTCTATCTTACAACCAGTCCAGAGGGTGGCACTGCCTGTCAGCTTCCTCCTCCTTAAGTCTTAGGGTGCCCTCAGACAGTCGCCATTTTCCAGGAAGGATTCAAGCACATACCAGAACCTTAGGCTTAGGCAATTAAAGTGGATTTTCCGGCTGGATGAAAAGCTCTCTGCCTTAGATGCTTAATTTGCACTGTTCTTTAAACTATTTTTAGATGTTTTTTATGGTATCTGTATCAGCAATGTCACAAACTCATGTTCTTAGGTTCCGCACTGATCTGGATAAAACAGAATAAGAGGAAGATTCCTGCATGACGCACAGTATTTTGCTAGACCCCTCACTGCCCCGAAGAAAGTCTGTGTAAGTGTTTGAGGCAGGGAACCAGTAATGCAAGGCACATTAAAGCAGGCACTAATTGTTTCTGCTCCTCTGAACCGGAGGTGGTGGGATTCTCTGGAAGGGAGGATTTTTATATAGATTCAGAAAGGGTTACGGCAGAGCCTTTAAAAGACTGTTTTCGAGATCACTGGCTTCAGTCTCTGGTAACCAACCACAAGGTTTAAGCATTGCCTGAGTGCAAAGCATGGCGTGGATCTCCGGAAATGGCGTTTAGATGTTTGTCTTATCTAAACGAGCTCAGGGCTGAGTAAACTGCTCAGAAGAGAGTGAGTAACCCTGACAAAGCAACCACCTTCTTATCACAGCCTCGAAGAGAACTGAACAGAATCAGGCATCAGAGACTTATCTTCCATATGATGTTAAAAAAAACAACCCAGGCCTGTCATACTGATTAGCGCCAACTAATTATTTCTGAGGCCCCCCTCTGCATCATTTTTTCGTGTACGCAGCTCAAACCGGCCACATCCTGAGATATTTGGGCACAGTGTCATTTGCCCAATGGTATTGTTTTGTACGTCTGGGAAAGCACACAACCAATCTTGGAAAAATTACTTTGCAACAACTGGAAGAAGTAACAGGTTCTGGAACATTTGCTGAATTTCTGGATCACTCTGACTTCTGGTTTCAATGCAATGAACAAAGCAGCTAGTGCTCTCTGGGCCAATCCACATTCTATATGACTCCATCTATATATTATAATCATCAACTTTTCAATTTAATTTAATTTTTGTTATTCATTTCATTTCTATACTGCTTTATATTTTTAAGAAAAAAATCTCAAAGTGTTTAGCAACACATTAAAATACCAAATAAAACAATCCAGAATGAAACATAATTGTCTATCCTGAATTGTGTGCACGTCAAGCCTTTCACACATTAGGCTTAAACTGATTTTGTGCCCAACTCCTCCTATTTATGCCAATGCCACCTAACTGTGCATAAGGGGGGGGGGGGGGGCGGCAGGCATTTGTGATGCAAATGAGCATTCTGACCCGTGAAAGGTTTCTGTTTTCCTTGCAAAGCCAGCTGCAGCAAGATCCCTCATGAAGGCTCATGTGCGAAACTGGCCCTTTGGTGTGCTGAGATGCTCCAGACCTTAGGTGCACAGCCAGTCCTACAAAGCAAGGATACAACACTCCTTCAAGCAAACACTGGATATCATCCATTGCAGGTCAATGCCTAATGAAAGTCCCACCTCCTAAATCATGGGTGGCTAACCTGTTAGGCTCCAGCTCCTATCAATTCCAGCCAATGTGGTCTATGGCCTGATATGATGGGGCTTGGAACTCAACAACAGGTTGGCTGCCTCTGTCCTAATGCTTCTGTTGCAGTAAATGGATAAGAAACTAGGGACAACTTTGCCAGGTCAGATGTCCATCAAGCCCAGCATCCCACTTCCCATAGTAGGGATACTATCAGGAAGTCTTTGAGCAGAGCATGAAGGTAATAAATAGCTGTCCTTCACTGTTGTTCCCCACCTTCCCACCTGCAATGGGAATTCAGTATCATGCTGCCTATGTTCATGGAGATTCCATATAGCCGTCATGGTCATCGCCAGACCTATCTTCTGCAAATTTCCCTAACCATCTAGTCATTTAACTGGTGACCATCATCACACCTTGTGGTCGTGAACTCCACTCATTAGTGTTGGGTTGTGTGAAGAGCTACACTCTTCAGATCGCCCTGAATGTTCTGCCACTTAAGTTTCTTGGGGAGCAGTTTGTCACTGAAAAGCTATAGCCTGTTCTGTTCCTTGAAGCTTGCTCCAGCAGACCTCTAGTGCAAAAATAAGCAGAAACCCTTGCATCGCAACAGGTCACTCCGGCCTGATTCACACACATAACGGAATGCAGCACAATGGTATAACCCCAATAGAGCTGGTGCTTGCTGTATTTCATTTGGCTTAAGGAGATAAGTGCTTTACTAATTAGAGGGTACCATAGTTATGCACTGTGCACTGATTAGAAATAAGTTCTATCCTACCCTGGAGAACCTGCAGTCCAAATTCTGACATATCTTGATAAGGGATGTTAAAGCCCTTCTAGAAGAGAAGATGGACACGGCAATGTGATCTCACGGTCATTCTGCTTGTTATTTCCTAAATCTTGCAAGTTTTATTTTTTTATTTTTTTCTTATTAGGAGTCCTACTCCTCAGGACCTTCTCTAAGAGCTAAGCAACATGATCCACAGAATCACATGGTGCAACTCTTGCTATGGTGTGCTAGTTCAGGCTATACTGGTGTATGATTAGGTTTGACTGCTCCCCACCCCCACACATATACATTTTCTGGCTTTAGAAACCAAGCACATCAAGGAAAGAGAAAGGTTATGGCTTAGCTCAGGCACTATACAACCTGTGATCCATCAATTCTTCCTGAGAGTCCTCCAGTTTGGCCTTGACAACCCACCACCACCTGGTTTGCATGCAGCAGAACCAGGGGGTTTGATGAGCCCGCTGGTAGGCTTTTGATTTAGATACCCATTATGTTCAGCTTGGTTCAACATCTCCAAATTATGACCCAAATGTCTTTGCATCACATTCAGGCAGTTTTACTAGGAAGTGCTAACTCTTTTTAAAAATCTATCTTGTTAAACCAACAATACAATCCAACCAATACAATCCAACCAGCTAAACAAAATAGTACATTAGTTTTGGAAGCTGATTTTTCCAGCAACCACACCTTCATTTGGAATCTTTCATGCCATCTTTGGAACCCAAACACCCACCCTATCCTTTAGATATCAAATTATAAACAATTATTTTGAGGCCCAAATAGCCCTGCTGTGTTTCAAGCCACAATTCACAATACGCAGGTTTGGATCCTTACATTCACATATGAAATAACATGGGAAAGGGTGGGCAATGTTAAATCCAAATCAGCTCAGTGTTACTTCCTGGCTGTCCACCCCTCTCTCTCATTTTCCACTTTGCTTCTTTTCTGAAGTACCTATTGGACTGGTCAGCATCTCTTATGTCCACATCCAGCATTGTGGAGCTCCTCCAATATATGCTGCCAGGATATAATATTATACCATAAAGGGAATCTTTGCACCTTGTTCAAATAGCTCTTGTCATTTGCATATGAAAATCTTCCCTTCTAAGAATGTAAATAATAATTGAGAGAGAAGACGAAAAAGAAAAAGGCAGGTTTGTGGATGGAGGGGAGGTTGTGTTGAGAGGGAAAGAGAAATGAAAATTTTGTTTGCAAAAATTCTGGACTGAATTAACAACAGATGATGTTTACACAGAAGCTTAGCCAAAGGAGCTGTGCACAGCTCAGCACCTTCAGCACACAAACTTCCCAATGATCAAGCAGCTCCTCTGCATTGTTAAAAGTGCCTGTAGGACAAGAATCAGAGAGAGGGGCCCACAGCCAGCAAATAAATTCTTAATACTGGAGCCCATTTTCCACTTGGAATGCTTGGCAGTCGACAGAGGCTGCTATGGGTCACAAAACTCCTACCAACTCACGTCCATACGAGTTTTATTCTGATCAGATGAGACTGCAGGAGCATAAAGGGCAAGCGTCTGGCCTTTGTGAGTTGGTCAGATATTTGCATCCTGAGGAGAATTCAAACAAAACTTGCCCAAGTGGTCATTTCAAGGCCACATAACTTTATGTAGCAAGCCGCCAGTTCAGACCCTCCAAGTGTCCCTATATTGCAAGGACAGTCCCAAATTTACAGAAGCCGTCTCAGTTTCAGATTTGATACTGGAATGCCCTGCTTTTCCTTACGATGTCCCTATTTTCATCGGGAGAAATGTTGGAGGCTATGCCAGCTAAGAACCAGAAAAGAGCCATCAAGTAGTGAACTCTATGGCTGGCCTGCTGAGGGAAGTTATCCTCACGATACACGTTATTTTCAACCATGAATGTTGTTGGCCCTGAGTAACAACACCAGAGCTGTGTGGCACGAGAAGGAATCAAGGGGGCAGGCACAGAATGCAAAATGTTAATGTGGGAACAAGGCTCTATTTGGAACTTTAATTTGGGGTTGGGACAGAGAATTTTGCACAGATTGACACTTATCGCTGAAAAGAGAGCAAAGACAGGTTTCATAGGAGAGTACTTTGCTTTTAAATATGTATTTTTCCCCCTTCCAATACAGCAGAGCAACAAGGTGGGGAAACCCAGCTCAGACATGAAAGATAAATTCTTTAAAAAACAGCAACAGGCACCCACAAAAGATACGGGTGGGGAAAGAAAACAGAGATCTGATTAAAGCTCATGAATCAGCACGGCACCAGAAGACACTATCTCTAAACCGGAGGCCCTTTCCTTCCCCCTGCATCGTTTTCTCCCCGTTTCTACAGCAACAACACCCCCTTTCCCCTCCAACTCTACCCACCCTCATGCCCATGTCCAGATTGAGGTTGATAATGGGGAGCACTCACACTTGGGGTTTGCAGGATGAAGGCCTCAGTTCGTTCGATTAGAAAAACTGTTGCTTCATCACTTTTGGGCTCACGGCTCTTCCCCGTTTCTTTGTCAGTTTTCTTCACCTGCCTATTTCTGGTTTGGTGGGGTGGAGGGCTCCCTTGGTTCTTGCCGTTTGTGGAAGCAGGTAAATGGGAACTGAAAGGGTTCCTTGAGATAAGAGGGCAGAGAGCTTAACGAGATCTGATGTTTGGCCTGCCAAGCACACTTCTAGAACATTCTTGCCACTGGCTTTATGACATCAGTGGCTGGCTCCACCCAACTGAATTTGTAGCTTGCCCTTAAAAAAAACTTCTTATAATTAACGCCCTTCTCCTTAAGCAAAGCTCTTCTCAGAACACACCTGCTGAAATTAATGAAGCTTAAGTTAGATACATCTGTTAACTTCATTGGGCCTACTTTGTATAGGACTAGTATTGGATACAACCTGTTGATTTTTCTTTTGGGTCTGGGTTGTACTTGTGAAGAAGTGAGCAGGCGAATCTGGGAGCTTTTGAAAGCAACGGAAAACAAGCTGTGAAGTAAAAGGCTGTATTCTGTATCTCCTCCCCTGCAATCATATTTCAAGATAATATCTTTTTCAACATTACTTAAAATACAGCAGTTAGATATGTTCAACCAATCAACATAAAAAGCTCAAAAAGCCCCTTCTTATGTAAGCATGGCTGTGGGTCTCCTCAAACCCATCCATTTTGAGAGAATGCAGAAATCCATCTACTTTATTTTATTTGTAACAATCCCTTTATAAACTCAATAGTTTTTCGAGACAGATGAATGCCAATAAGTGAACTGTTTTTTGGTGTAAGTTTTTCTCTCTGTGCGTTCTTACCACCTTTTTGACCTCTCATACTACTTCACAACACTCCAGAACTGTGTATTTTACAATAGCTTCACTTTCACCGCCCTCTGATTTATGTTTACCGTATGCTGTCATAGTACTGCAGCTCTTAATCTAGAGCAGGGATGGGGAATGTGGCCCTCTAGGCTTCTCTCTCTGGCCCTCAAGGCTCTCCTCACTGGCCCCACTTTGATTGCGTTTCCCTGGTTTGAATGCGCCCTTGAGCTCCGTCAATGCTTCTTCCTTGCTTGGATGCAGGACAGAGACGAGTGTGCAGAAATAAATCTGCTGTCCAAAAATTGAACATTTGTTGCTCCCCTCACATGCTTATTGCCTAGCCCACCATAGACATGTTGCCTAGAAGGGAAGGTGGTGCTCAGTCTGGAAAAGGTCCTACCCCCACCGATCAAGAATCCATTGTTCCCCCTCCAAGTCTATGAATGTGGCTTTTGTTGTCTTCCAATTTCACTCTTATGGGGTTTTCACCATTCTTGGATTGCCCAATCCTGGATCAACTCATTGTTTGTTTGTTTTTTAAATCCCTTCAGTCTTGTCAAGAAGTACAGACTTGCTGCTTCCTCCTCCTCACGCATCATCAATACTTTACTCAGTGAAATTTCACATTTCATTTCCTGTGTTCTCTCCCATTGATGGCTGCTTTTGCCTCTACTTTTCATCATAGGCTGGTGCTTATCGATAAAGCCCTGTTACACAGGGAATAATACTATTTCCCCATCTGATCCTAAATTAATGTAAGAAATAGCCTTTATCAGGTTTCATCATTATTATTTTTCTTCCTAAATATGGCTCTCTTCATTTTCACACACACTTGTACCTCTCCTCAAGCTCACAACAGTAACAAATGAGTAAGGTATTTCCTTGCCTAATATATATTGGAGACTTCTCAGGGCAGTGAGAAAATCTGGACAAGTGTTTATACAACAGTAGAAATATTAGCAAATATTGCAATGGATCTGGCCGTGCAGAAGGCCTTGTTACTGCTTATACTCCGCAGAATTAAAAGGGCACTTTCCAGGCTTCATTTTTCTTGGCATCAATGTGAAAATACTCTGTGTATATGCTTGGGTCGGGCGCTCAACAAATAAGCTGTTCAAAAGGGGACATATACAAACCTTATGAAAATAACTTGGAGGATCTCGGGTATTCCTGCCAAGCCCAACTTCAGCCTCATGTCTGATAGCTTAAGGCCTTCTTTCCATTGGCTTAGGGCCACCACAGAGTAACTTTATAATCTGCATGTTATCTAGCCCAGCTGTTGGTGTTTGCCTACACATGGGCAGGCCTTATTTGTGAGCCAGGACTGCGGCGATCCCAGGGCTGCAACAGGATGGACGCCTCACGTTACAGTTCAGGTACTTTGACAGAATTCCAGGGCTTGAGGGGGCCTCAGTTCCTGCAGATTGGATTCGCAGTGCATGGGGAAAGGTGACGGTGGAAGGTAAAAGAGGCACCATAGCCCTGGCTAACATATACACCAATGTGAGATGCAAAGAAGGACTGGAAACATGAAGCGGAACATTTCCTGAGGTGTTGCCATCTTTGCATTTGTGGGTGAAACTATGAGGCTGAAACTATGGAAGCTACTAAAGCAAAACCATATTCTGCCTTGCCCACACCTAGGGGGTCTAAAATAGGGGTGGGAGGCCCAGGGGTCAAATGTGGTTCTCCAAGCTTCTCTGTTTGACCCTTGGGACTCTTCCTGGCCCACATACCTCACTTCCCTTGCTTTGCACCTTCCTTTTTGCCTGGCTAGAATGTGTCCCTGAACTCTGATAATGCCCCCTGCTTCTCTGGATGAAAGATAGGGGGCGTGTAAGTGCAAAGAAGCAACTCTAATGTACAAAGAGAAAAATTACATTTGCTGCTCCACCTGCTATAGCCTCTGGCCCCGCCCACCACTGACATGTGGCTCCTGGAAAGTTGCCCTGAATAGCACCACCAGTTTTCAATGCACCGAAGAATGCTGCTCAATTTTTAAATAACCCCATATCTTGCAATATCTTCTGAAATATATTGGGGCTCGAGTTACACCCCTCTCTCTGGATAGATAGATAGATAGATAGATAGATAGATAGGTAGATAGATAGATAGATAGATGGATGTTGGCCACGGTCTGCCTCAGGAAACAATGGAGGAGTGTGCCTTTGGGGGTGAGGTCAAGCTTTTGGAAGGTTGCAGCACCTGCTGTGGCTGATGTGGGAGAGACATGTTTTGTTGCAGCTGGGGCAGATGAAGGTATCCAGTTCTGTCACTGCAGATGCACCATGGCGTTTCTTCTCTCTGTGCTCCTCCAAGCGGACATTCCTGCTCTGGTCGCTGCTATGGATACATGACTTGACTGCCTGTCTCCAGACGATGTGGTCTGCGAGGGATACACACACACACACACACACACACACACACACACAGAATGTATGTATGTATGTTTGTGTATATAGTATGTATACTATCCATCTATATAGTATGTATGTATGTATACACACACACACACACACACACACACACACACAAAACTTTAACCAGCAAACAAAAGGAGAGACTTTGTATTAGGAGTGCCTCCAGCAAGCCTAATATGCAAGTCTTCATTCATTCCTTCATTCATTCATTTAACTTTGTATACTACCCTTCATCCAAGATCTTAGTTGTAAGGACTTCAGTACTCCTCAGGTGGGGAGGAGCTTTGCGGCAAGGAGTTTTCGTGTGCAAGCACACACACACACACACACAGAGAGAGAGAGAGAGAGAGAGTCAGAGTCAGATTTGTGCACCTGCTTAGGAGTGGATACTTTGCTCCACATTTTCTGTAGTGGGAAAAGAAACCTGAGGGTTTTGGGTTCTTTTACCTGACAGCTTCGTACAATCCAGCCAGTGTAAGGTATAATGGAGCCTTCCCCCCTCGCCACCCCTTGCTTCTCAGATCTCAGGAATATGTGCCAGAAGCCTGTCAACTTGTTAAAAGTACATTAATGCAAATACCAGAGCTTTCAGTTATGTTTATGCTAATAGAAAGCCTCCTGCTCTGTGACAGGCCCGAGTGAAGACTCAGGAACAGGAAAATTAATTCCAGCTGTTGAAATTGATTTTTATTTTTATATAAAAAAACCCACTAGCTTAATAATAAATAAAAACACCAACACACACACAATTCCAAAATTCAGAACAAAACAAAACTGGAAGTAAGTGTGCGGGGTATGCACTAAATCATGTTTACAGAAATAAAAGCCGAACAGGTTCTCCTCTTGGGAAGAAACCTTCCAAATTCAATCAAGGGTGGTTAGAAGAAAGCTCCGGCCTGTTATCAGGTTGTAAAAGTGTAGATTAACCTGAAAAAAAGAATTTGCTGGGTTGCTCAGCCTGCATTTGGGAAAGAAAAGGCTAGCTTTTCATTTTTCTTTGTAGGAGCATTTTGTTTTAGATCCCTTGCATCTAATCCATTGACAGGGAGACCAAATCCTAGCTGCTGTGGAACAGACCAATATTTTAGAGACAGATAATGTTTGCATATCACAAGTTTCTCAACAATTCCTCTGCCCACCCTTTTCTCTCTCTTAATATATTGGCCTCTCTCTGTGGGGTGAGACAGGAGTTAAGTGGCCAGGTCCCTTATTTCAGCTACAGCCTCTGATCAGTGTCTGGGTGAAATGAAATCTTCCGAGCTTGATATGGTTTATCTAGGCTAGCCTGTGTTCACATTCAGGCATCTATCACTCTCGATAACTTCTGCAATAACACTGAGGAAAATTCACTGGGATTTAGTTTTTAGGCGAGTGCTGCACAATAAACTAAATCAAGTGCCAAGCGGTGGGGAATGAGTGGATAACTGCTATGCGAATTCTCACTGTGCATGTTGTGTTGTGACTCTTTGGAGGACCAGAGGGTCCCAAGGTCCCTTGCATAAGGCAATGTTCGAATCCTAAATATTTTGTCCAATTAACAACAACAACAACAATTTTATTATTTATACCCCACCCATCTGGCTGGGTTTCCCCAACCACTCTGGGCGGCTCCCAACAGAGGACTGAAAACAGAATAAACTTCAAACATTAAAAACTTCCCTAAACAGGGCTGCCTTGTTTTAGGGTTAGGGTAGGGATAGCCAATATGGTGCCCAACTGTCAGAAGCTGGAGTGAGGCAAAGGTCGTCAATAAAAAGCATGGTGTCAGTGAAGTTAACTCTTAAAGGAACCAAAAGAGTGCAGTCCTAGTGATTCCAGCAACTCTTTCCAGTAGGTCTTGCCCCAATGAGGCAGTTGAGAGGACTGAAGGCCCCCATCTTCCCACTGCTCTCTAAGGCTCCTCCTCTCCAGGGTCTTTCCCAAGCAGTCACAAACAGGAGGGGAAGACTCCCTGGATTCTTCAGCAGCCTGTCTCAACTCTGCCTCTTGGTCGGCCTCCGCTTCAGCCTCTGCTTCAGCCTTGGAGTCTGCACTGCTCTCTGACACAGCCTCTTCCTGCTCACTAAACCCTGCTACCTCTTCTGCTTCTGACACCTCCTCCTCCCAGTCTGCTCGCTCTGACCACTCATCATCGTCCTACCACCACTCCCCTGGCTCTGAGTCTTCTTCCCCCGCTGGTGCCTCCCTCCACTCCCTTGTATCCACTCATGACACCACCACATGTACTCCAACTTCCACCATATACAGCCAGAATGGCCAATGGTAGTCCAACAGTATCTGGAGGGCACCATGTTACCTAGCTCAGGTTAGGGGAAAACAAATCTGACAGGTGAGTTATTTAATCATCTGATTTTCACAGGTTTTCAAATACTACCCTAGGCCTGCTTCACCTTTGATTGCACTGCACTTGATTGCTGCTTACTTGCTAGCCGTCCACATGTGTATAGTATTATTAGTTATAGTAATAATAATTAAACTTAGAGCCTATCCTTCCAAAGGAGCCCAAGAAGGGGAAAGTAAGAACATACCCACCAGCCCCATCCCAGCACCCTTTCATCCACCTCCACCCCATGCAAATCACAAGAAAGGTCATAGCTCAGTGGTTACGCATCCGCTTTGCATGCAGAAAGTTCCAAGCTCAATTCCCAGTATTCCCACATCAGCTGGGGGACACCATCCTCTGCACCGTCTCACAATGTCTCTCTCTCATTTTATGTCCTTACGAAGGGGCAGGGCAAGCCCTGTGCATTCCTCATGCCCCTTTGCTCACTTGGTTCTACCTGAATTGGTCTTCTGTCATCATGCCATCACCCATTCTCATGTCCTTACATGTTCCAGAGCCACAGGCACAGGTCCAATTCCCCAATAATCTCAATATGATAACCTATTTCTATAAAGTCAGGATATTAATCAAAGTAATATCTTTTAGGTTACACAGTGGAGAGGCACTAACTTCCTAGAGTACAGTTGCTCGGAGTACTAAGAAGGAGGCATTCTGTAACAATCCCAGTTAGCATTTGGGGCTGATCCATACCAGCTTTTGTACTGGACAGCTGTTAATTTGTATATATTCACGCTCTCCCCTGATCCTCTAAAACCAAGCATATAAAAACAATTCTAAAAATAAGATTTTTAAAGCACCATGATAAAATTCCCACCTAATCCTAACAGCCGATGCAGATCAAAAAATGGCAGCAGACCAGAGCAGGCTCGTAATGTGGGAGGGGATAAAAAGGCACCAGCAGCAGACTTACTGAAGGAAGATAGTGAGAGAGACAGGTATATAGTTTTGTCCAGTGGAAAATGGGACCCCGACAGGAGCGGCCAGTGTGGTGAGGCACAGCTGTCGTCTCAACACCTGTTATCACTGCCCTTTACCTGGATGGGGCTAGAATGCAGCAAGGTCAGGGTTTGGCAGGTGCATTGCTGCAGCAAATCTGTACCCTTGCCAGTGCATCCTCCCAGCCCCAACCTTACCCCATCCTGCCCCACTGCAGTCCCATACAGGTAAGCTGCAGCAATGCCAGTGTGGTGAGGGCTGCACCATGCCAGCTGCTCTTGGCGCCAGGATGCAGGCTACACAGCCTAGTAGAAAGTGAGTGGGGAAATGGGGAGCTCACTCAGGAAGGGGGATCCACAGAGGGCACCATGCCCACGGGCCCCCAATAACTCAAGGCCAACACTGTGCAACTCTATGGAAATATGGAGGACGTGACATCTGTTTGCCTCGTTATGGAGCAGGATGCTGCAGCAGCAGCAGCAGCACATAACTGTCCATGCCACCCTGTGATGAATTTATAAACAGCCACTGTATCACACATGGCCATCTGGATCCAGGCAAAGCGAGGAAATGCCACGTCACTAATAATTTGCATGCCCAGGAAAAAGCTTCCTGCTGTACAGCCCACTGCCCTGAATCTGGAACTTCGCAACTTTGAAAAAAAAATCATCTGGGAGATTATATGTAATAGATAAGAGGTTACAAGTATAAAACAGGAGTTACCCCTGGAATGACCTCTGTGGTGGAGCGTGATTGGTAAACTCTGGAGTGAATTAAGAGTAGCCGTGGGTATTCCAAGTTTTTAAAGGGTATTCTACTTTTCACTGCTCATGTATGCCCTTTTTACACAATGAATGCAGGGAGAAGTACTGAATGGCTGCACTGCACCCTGACCTCCACCACAGTCACTTGGAGGTCAGAGCAGAGCCTATGCACTACAATGTGTAGACACATGGCTCTCTCTGCCTGTTTAGGGACTTTGCATCATGCAACATACTGAGTCGACATGCATATACGTTGTAGACATTTGGGTTATTTTCTGACTTTTGGTTGGGTGTGTGGAGGTCAGAGGCAAGACCAACAGACATTAACCCCTTCTCCTTTCTTCACATGTCAACTCTATGCACTGTTGTTATTAGACTGGCTCCTGCCACTATTGTGCAAAACAAAAAAGTCTAGAGTCAAATGTCTCCAATTTTCTCCTCTTTCGCCAGCAATATTCAGGAACCGAATGTGTTTGACTGTGCTAGGCTGCAGAACAGAGTCAATGACAAGCGACAAGTTGCAGGCTGAGATGAGGCCTTGCATCAAGTGCCCCGAAGACAGATCTGCTGTCAAGGAACTGCGGGACTTTTGGGACTAGCCATTTTGCAGCTAGGTAAAACAGCCTTCACCAACAAAGCCCATACCAGCTTGGGACATAGATACTGGCAAAATGCCTGCTTCCATATAATTCTGCCCATGCTTTGAGATCTGGTGGGGATGGTTTTTTGGTTTGCATTGCATCACCCTGAAATTGGGTATGCAGAGACTACCCAGGGTTCTCTGTACAAGCAGCCCCATTATGGAATTCCTTACTTTGTAAAAGAAGGTCTGACCCTGACCATTAAGTGTTTTCAAAGCTCACCTATTCACCCAGGCCTTGGGATGAGTCATTGCCGGTAATTTGCTGTAATGAAATTTTGCTGGTTTTTATTGCTGTTTATTCCTTGGTTCTCTTGTGCTTTAAGGGTTTAATGTTGTAAGTTGCTCTGGGCTGCCTTTTCAGAAACGGGCTATAAATAAATAAATAAACTCCCATAACCCCTGACTACCAGCTGTACTAGATTGGGGGGGGGTCAAAGGGAGTTCAGTCCAATAAGAGCTGGAGGGCCACAGCTTCCCTCATCCTCTACCGTTTGGAGACAAGAATATCCAGCACCCAATCAGATATGATCTCTAAATGCAGTTCCAAAAATCTCAACATTCATGGATTTGCTCAAGCTGGTGTCACAAAAGGATCTGCACATCACCAACAGCATCAGCTAATCTGAGAGGCAAGTCAGAGTGAAGTAAGCCTGGAACAGAAGTGTTCTAGACCTTAAGGATTCACGGGCCATTTTACTCTGCTCAAAACCAGTCCCCCTGGAATCCCCTCCGCAACTGTCCTCCCCTAGGAAACTCTATGCAACCGCCTGATGAAACCCCCAGAAAGAAAGAAAGCCAGTCACACTGATGGGAAGACGAAACTGGCTCCTCCTCTCAGGAGACAGTTGTGCTATGCTCCGAGAGTGCATCCTGAGAGGAAGTTGAGGAAAACCCTGTCTTCCCAAGTGCTTTGATCTTAAAATGATGCTCGCTGGGTCGGAGAAATATTAGGTGAAGCTAATATTCCATTGCAGACCTTGATGAGTTGCAGCACACGCTTCTGCACAGATGTGCCAAACTCGTATAAGCCTTAGTAAAAGTCGCTGCCCAGCTTTTCCAGCAGCGGCAAGAGAAGGCACACCCTGCGTCGAAGCTGGCGGGGGTGGCTTCCAATGCAATACCGTTTTAAAACACGAAACTGCTAAGGGTGACATTGGAGTGGTAAAGATGCAGGAAGCATCAAAGTGTGTTTGTGTGTTTTACCACTCCTTCTCAAAATGATTTGTTGTAAGAAAAAAAGGGGGGTGTTAAAAAAAAGCTAAAAACCTCCAAACTTTGGGTATCTAAACATCAGGACAACTCAATAGGCAACTGGTAACCTTTCCAAAATGGCAAAATGCCATTGCTTGAGCTTTCTGGTGTGCTGAACAGCATTTGTTCATTGCATGTGAAACGTGCATCTTTGATACTGTTGTCTTTGGCACAGGGAAGCCTCCCCCCTTCACTGAGTGTCTCTACCACCTTCTACCTTGCGCCTCTCCCCCTCGGCCCTCAGCGCTATGAACAGCAGATTGCAATACAATCTCACAAAGAGGTAGGAATGGACTTCTAAGAACCGTATAGTGTACATGGTAGGGTAAGAATCAGAGTGAGAAAGAGATTGTGCTATAGCAGCACGTGTCATAAAAGCACCTTTTCCAGAAAGCAGGCCAGCAAAGCAATAGTATCTGTCCCTGCCTCTGTTCATTTCACTGGCTATGGAACAAGGCTCTGGCTACTAGGAAGAGCTAACAATATTCTCGGAAACTGCCCAACACTTCTGCAAATACAGAGGGGTTTTTTGGGGGGGGGCTGCATATTAATTCAAATTAATTTGGAAGATTATGTTCTGGTATTTTTTTTCTGCAGCAAGGTGCTAATTACTAAGATTCCTATAAAGGGACTCGGATCCTTTGAACTTTGCAATCACATTTCTCTTCAACAGTTGGGAGACATGCCATAGCCAAGACATTGAAGGATAAGCCCCAAAGAAAATGGGACTGCTGCCTGTCCTCTAAGGCTTGCCATGCAGCAGGATGAAGAAACCTTTACGGTAAAGACAGGCATTCCCAAGCATTCTGGATCTCTTGATGGGCTGCCTGCCATATTGTGAGTAGATGGAATGGGGGAAACATAGAATTGTTGTGTTGGAATTGACCACAAGGACCATCTAGTCCAACCCCCTGCAATGCAGGGATCTTTTGCCCAACGTGGGGCTTGAACCCGCGACCCTGAGATTAAGAGTATCATGTTCTACTGACTGAGCTATTCAGGGTCCCTTTGGAAGATTGCTTGAACTAGCTAAGAAGGAACATGGTTTTCAAGGAGACTGCAGCACCAGGCTATGCGCTTTTCCACTGGCGGGGAACCTGTGGATCTCCTAATGTTGCTGGACTACAACTCCCATCATCCTTAACCATTGGCCATTGGCTGTGGCATTCGTACGGAGCCCCCGGTCGTGTCACGGACTATTGACCAGTACACCACTAATCCGCTGCCACCAACCAGGTCCTCCCTGGTAAAATCACTTCAGTCTCAGTCAGCTTCTCAATTAATAAAGAAGAATGTATTTTATTTCAGACACAAACAAAGCTTTTAGGACATTCCAAACGTTGTTGCTCTTTACTTTCTTAGTCTTATTTCCCTCTCTCTATCTCTTCTACCTCCCCACACTCAAGAACCCGCTGCCCTAACTGTCTCTCTATTACCAACTGCCTTTCCCAACCAGCCAACCCACTAAATCCAACCAACTACCCACCAACAACTCCCAACAAACTCCTTCCAGAACTGGTTTTATAGTCCCACTGACTCCACCCCCCTAGGTCCTAACTGGGCAACCTGTTTAACTATTTACCTCCAGCACTCTCTCTTATGTTAACGTCACAGATGTGGCTGAAGGGAGTTGTTGTCCAACAAAGTCTGGAAGGCCACAAGTTAGCCTCCCCTGAGGTATAGCCTGGACACTTTACCTCCTCCATGGGGTGGGTTTGTTCTCTCAAGGTAGGCAGTGGAACAAACAGCCTCACAATTGATTCTTCCTCCCCACTGTCACCTTCCTATCTTGCTTAAGTATTTATAGGATGAGAGCTGTTTTTCATTTTAGGGTAAATGTGTTATGAAGACCCACACTCATGAAGATACATGAAAAGATAATGTGAAAATTAATAGACGCATGTATCTGGGTATATATTACACAGAAACGATCTGTGTACAAGGAAGGCTCTGGAATCAGTTCCTGAAGCTGCCGTACTTCTCTCAGAAGGAAGCAGAAACTTCTGGGTTACTCTCCTGCATGTCTTCCAATGTAGGTTTGCACAGGGATGGCTCTGCTATGAAACTAATGAAGCTTAAGCTTCAGGGACCCTAATTCCAGGGGGGCCACAGAAGTGACTTAAGTCCACATTGCTTTTTAAAAAATGGGTCTAGTAGACCCAATCTGAATAGCACAACTCAAATTGATCATTTTTGTTGTTGTGTATATTTCAATAATCCCCAAGTTTGAGAGTCAGCAGCACAGATGTTGTAAAAGTGTGATGATCAGTCATGGAGCAACCCCACTGAAGAAGAGAACCACGGTTACCCAGACCCCATTGCTGGCTGCAAAGGAGCCCACATGACTGTTCAAGATTCAGGGCACCCAAAAATGTAGATCCACTGCTGGGTGTGCATCTTGATTATGCCCTCTGGTCACAGCAAAATAAAGTAACCCCCTTTCCTTGGTCCTTTGCTGCGAAGACTGTTCTGCAAAGTTGTAAAGGCTTTCTTTTCCAGACAAGGCTTAACCCAGCAGGGAATGGTGTGTGTGTGTGTGTGTGTGTGTGTGTGTGTGTGTGTGTGTGTTGGGGAGCGCGCGCGCACACACACACACACACACACACAGAGAGAGGTCCAAAATACTGAAAAACAGGCCTGACTACTTAAAATTAGTAAGTAAGCAAGAGAAGTGGCTGAGAAAACCCAGATGGATGTTGCTGCAGCAATACCCACAACATGCTGAAAATCAGAAAAGGGTTTGGAGCAGGGAGAGCATCTCCATATGTCACCGATTTCCAAATCCGAACCTTTTAGATGCATTCTGCAACACTCACAGCATATCTCCTAAATCCTAAACAAATACATTAATTGCTTTCAATTTATCAGTCTCAAATCACTCCGTCTAATTACCATTCATCTAGGGTTTGTGTTTTTAATGGTTTATGGGTATTGTTGGTAATCTTTTAATTTCTCATTAAAAACAATATCTTGTACGCACTATGTGTGAAAAGCCCTAATCCGATAAATCAAGCAAGAGTAACACAGTTAAAAGGAAATCAGCGAAACAATATTTGGGGTTTATATATTTCTGCCAGTCAATTTGTAATTAAAAAGTTGCTACTTTAAAAAAAAAAAGCACAACAAAAACCCCAACAACAACACAGTTGTTGCTGTGAAAGCCATTATCAGCCGACATTTTCATATGAATACTGCTTTAATTAATTAGCAAAAAGTAAATACATTATATATCAAAAACGCTTTCCCACTGAACCCATGCGTTCCAGAACAAAAGGCTTAATAAATGACACAAAAGAGGGACAAATTAGCTGATCCCACCTTCCTAGCGTTAGAGTCTTTTAAAGTTCTCCAACGTTTTCCCCCTCATTCTTGTTTCTTCTTCCTCCTGTGTGTGTATTTTTTTTAATGCATTGTTTGGTTCTCTTTGGATAAGGCTGGAGAGATGCTAAACAAACAAAGTGCGCGCTCGCTCTCTCTCTCTCTCTCTCACACACACACACACACACACCATTCAAATTAAATTGATTGTTTGAAATCAGTTTTTCTGGGTCTTAGAAAACAAGAGTGTTTATGATTATTTTTTTAAAAAATGAATGTAATTATGATCACATACAACATGGTCCCCCTGGAACAACTTATTTACTGAAGGGCTATGACTTGGTTTACACCAAAGAAGAAGAAATGCTTTTTGTCCTGTGGGCTTTCTGAACAGTGGAGGAAAAGACCCTCCTCTTGTTACAATTGAGGAGGGGAGGAAAGCCGAGCCAACCACTCTCCCCAAAGGCCAACACTACTTGAAATGTATACACTGCTTCTTTCAAGCCACCTCTGTGGATTCTTGATCAGGCACTTTCTTCCCATTCATCACCCAAGAGTTAACTTCATGGCAGTTTGCCTTTCCTTGGGAGCAAGTGCCCATGGGATAGCTGCAATGAGACAGCTCTCATGGAACAGCTGCAGCATGGTTTACTAAAGACACTTAAAGGGCTTGCACAAGGTTTGAAAGGGTCCTGGGCAAAATGCCCCCCAAGTTATACCCTGATGTCCCTCTCAATGAGCTTAATGGTGGTTCAGAGTTGACAGCAGGGATGGATGGGGATGGGCAGTGGTGGGTGGTAACAGACTACCATAGGGATGGGTCAGCCAAGCACAGGGAAGAGACGCATCAGGTGAGGCAGTTGTGGCATCCTCCAGCATTTTAATTTGCCCAGAATGCCCCTGTGTGTACATTGCAAGCAAGTCCAGTACTTCTCAGGACTCCCTGCCCCAATTTACACATTGCCCAAGTATTTTCTATGCTAACACTGAAGTAGAAACAACCATTATTGACACACTACTGGGTAGCATTAAGGTATCAGACTGATGAACAGGTTAACAATATAATCCTTCCTAAACATGTCCACTCAGATGTTGTTGTTGTTTAGTCATGTCCAACTCTTCGTGACCCCATAGACCAGAGCACGCCAGGCACTTCTGTCTTCCACTGCCTCCCGCAGTTTGGTCAAACTCATGCTGGTAGCTTCGAGAACACTGTCCAACCATCTCATCCTCTGTTGTCTCCTCCTCCATCTTTTCCAGGGAGTCTTCTCTTCTCATGAGGTGGCCAAAGTATTGGAGCCTCAGTTTCACGATCTGTCCTTCCAGTGAGCACTCAGGGCTGATTTCCTTAAGAATGGAGAGGTTTGATCTTCTTGCAGTCCATGGGACTATCAAGAGTCTCCTCCAGCACCATAATTCAGAAGTTAGCCCTACGTAATTCAGTGGGGCTTGCTCCCCGGTAAGTGGGGTTAAGAATACAGCCTAACTAAATTGTGCATACAAATGTGTCCCCCAAAACTCAAATGTCCCTCCCTTCTCTCTGCAAGAGAAAAGCCGATTTAGAGCAAAGGAACAGCAAAGGGATGGAGGTTCTTTACCCTTTGCCACTTCCTTACCTGCAACAATGCGATCCTGCACACACTTACATGGTTTTACTTTGGAGTAGATAAAATTGCACTTCCCAAAGCAGCTTCTCTCCCTGCCCCCCAAGGTTGTTAGCAGGGTTTCATTATAGGCATTTGCATATGATGTGTAATTAGGCCCTGAGATAACTTAATTGAAACTATATATATATTTTCACAGTTTTGCCATGTTGGGTAGCTTTGGGAGAAACACCTATCCACTCCTCAGGGTCCTTCTGATTCCAACCAGGATTTATTTTAAAAATTAAGTTTCTGAGCTTGATGCAGCTTAAGGATGTGGGAAAACACATACGGAAACAAAAACAAAGGTCAGTGGAAATAAATGACTGTGTGCTCCTTCATTCATTAGATGTAGCTTTTAAACACTACCTAAGCATGAAACCCAACAACTGAACAACGCAGTTCACCAGCTGTGGGTGGTGGGTGACCCACTGGGACTTTCAGGGACCTCCTGGCTTTGCTGCCTGCACAGAGCTACAAAAAAAGAGAAGGTTGGGCTGGGCTTGGACAAGCACCTGTCAGGTCCCAATGCAGATCTAGTGGGTTGCATTGAGCTTGGCAGATCACAGGCTGCTTAGGCCTCTGATGCAAAAACGTGGAAGGAGGAGAAAACCAGTCTGACACCTCCCCCCCCCCAAAAAAGGACTCTTAGGAGTCTAAAAATCCCAACAAACCAAAAACCCAACAAAACAATATAAAACTATAAAAATGGCAATAAACTACCCAGCATTAAAACAGCAGCGACAATAATAAAAGCCTTAAGAGACAAAAACCAGAGGTTTCTTTAACCCAGAAGGGCTGTAGCTGTGTTAGATCTTTCCCAAATTCAATCTCCAGGCAAGGCAGAGAAGAGGTCCCTGGCTTAAATCCTGGAAAGCTTCTGCCAATCAGTGCAGACAACACTGAGCTAGATGAACCAATGGTCTTACTCAGTATAAGGCAGCTTCTGATGATCCTCACACCTGTTGAAAGGCTGACTTTTACTCTTGTCAGCAGAAAGCAATAAGGGGGAGGGGGCTTTCTGTGCTTCCTGTGGCAGGTGAGAGTCCAAATCCTGGAGCCACCACAGGGGAGACCCTGGGGCCTATATATAAAGCAGGGCTTCCTCCTGCTCATAGGAGAAAAGAAATCCTGATTCCAAACCATTCTGACATTTAAAGGTCAAACAGCAGCACTTCGAACTGAACCTGGAACAAAATGGATGTCACCAAAAGTTGCACAATATTCCTGTGATAAGCTGAGAAACTCAGCAGGTGCATTTCACTGCTACTTTCCAAACTGCAAAAATGCTGTGTCCGTGTGAAGTGGATTTGGTGCGCTAGGATGACAAAGCCCTTTAATTTACTTTAACTGCACAATCCTAATGTTCCAATGTGCTTGAATCCCTCCTGCAAAATATTGACAGTCTGGAGGCACCCATAATAAAATTATTATTATTACTGCTCTTTTGGGTACATAGGTGACCCTAAGTAGGGCAGCAGAAAATTTCTCTGAATTTCACCAGCCCATCAAAGATGGTGAGTTTCTTTCCTCTCCCCATACCTCCTCTTGATGCCAAAGAAGCTCTACCCACAATGTCCAGCATTGGGAGAGAACTGTGTGCGAGAAAAAGGACAAGGCATCCAGTCCTCACTTAACAATTGGTGGCATTTTCCGCCAGAGCCAAGGTGCTGTCGTGTTACCATCCTAACAGTTAAGCAGTGATATTCTAACAACCCAGTCCTTTTGCTCCTCACTTCCTGCTTCAAGAATTCCTAACTGCTGGTTGGCAGTCATTAAACACCTGCCATTTTATTCCCTCACCTTGTGGTGGTTGAGCCACAATCCCCCATAGGCAACACTGTGACAAAGCACAGGGACTACTCCATGGAAGGATACCAAGCTATTCCTAACTACCCTAAGAGGAGCCGCAATGTGTGTGCCTGCTGCAGTCCTTCCATTGCAGACATGTTTTCCCTTTCGCATGAGTGCCTTGATTTTTATCACAGCTATATTTGATTCCGCCACCCATCTGGAATCATCTCGCCTCCCCTTGGCCCTCATAAATAACAGAGCCCGGCTCTAACCGAAAGCAGTTGATGGAATCAAGACCTGTTGGCCTTTGGCAGTCCTTCCAGGAATTTTTAGGGCTTTCACCAGTCAAGAAAAGGCTTTGAAGCTATGGACTTCGGATTTTTATGAAGACCATGCTGTAGGGTTCAGCCAACTCGCAAAGTGTCAAATATGGGGCATTCTTTCATCTCTCCTCTTGAGCGTGGAATCAAGGATGCTCCCACTTGCTGCAACTGAGGACTAGGGAGCTGGAAGCATCCTAGAAATGAAGGCTCATTTCATTTTCTGTGTGCCTTAGTATATTTACCAACTCCCACATTCCCCTCATACTAACTGCTGGAGTCCTGTCTGTCTGTTCTGGAGACTACATCAGATAAGAGGAGACTGGGAAACGGCATGCTTGCTCATTCTCTGGTTTTGAAGCTCTGTTGTTGGGGCCTCAAGGCATCCTGCTCCCGCTTCATGGACGCCCGCTACAGAGACGAGAAAATGTATTTTGCTCTTTCAGTTTCAAAGGGGCACCCTTATGAAATCTGCCACTTCGGAAGGCCTATCTATGAAGCACAAAGCCGGACCGGTCAGGGAAATCCTACCTTCCACCATATGGTGTCACTACTCCTTCCAGGAGAGAGGAAAAGCCTGCTAATTGCTCGATATAGCAGAAAAACAAAATACTACTCAATCAGTATACGTAGCACAAAACACCTATTAATGGTGTGTGGTGCTTCAGCACCCTGCATCCTTTAAAACACTGAGCTTCACAACAGGTCTCTGACATAGAGAAATGTGCTTCTTCTCATTTAGTCAGGGTTCAGAGACAACTGACTCAACCGAGGACCAGATACTAGGTGTGACAATGTCAGCCATGTTTATAGGTGATGCCATGCCTCCTTCCTTCACAGTAAACAATGGAGAAGCAGTGGGAGATGGAGAAGTAAGATCGGGGATGGTTCGGCTCCTCTCACCCTTGCGCCCCTTTGGATGTCAAAATCAGAACCTCTTGCCCCACTTTATACTTGAAAGGAAGAGACATGTAAATAAAAATTACTGGCACAATTCATGCTTGTTCCCCTGCCCTCTCTTTTCCAAGTTGACATGCCAACATCTGCATCAGCACAACCGGAAGCCTTCATCTGCCCCAGCTGCAACAAAACATGTCTCTCCCAAATTGGCCTCTACAGCCACAGCAGATGCTGTAACTCTCTAATGGTTTGACTTTGCCCACAAAGGCGCACTCCTCCATTGTCTCCTGAGACAGATGGGTGCAAACAATTGCCAACATCTGTGCCAGCCTTTATGCAAGACCTTAGTTACATCACTGATTGGGGAGAATGGGAAGTTGGGATCAAAAGCACGCTAAGGGTGTATTGAATCCATGCACATCAGCCAGTTTTATACCAGTTTAACTTTCATGACTTCCCTTAAGGTATCTTAGTGTGTTACAGAGCTTAAAACCTCTCATATGATATACCCACAATCCCTTGCAGAGCCATACCGGTAGTTTGCAGTTTTGTATGTAAGGGAGACATGCCAAAGACATGAGTCTTCAAATTACCCCACCAGTACTATAACCATTCAGCTGAATGGGCTTCAACAATGGGCTGCTTTGTGGATCAAAGCAGCTGTGCACTGCTGAGAATATTGATTTATCTGGCAACAATGCAACACACTTCCCCAATCAAAAAACTTTATTGCCATCAGAAGACTATCAATGACTGATTATTTACCCCTGAAATCCTGGCTTAGCTACTAGATGAAAAAAGGAAATTAACTATGGTTGCTTAGAGGATGCCAATTAAGAAAAGCACTTGGAACTATTTGTAGTGTGTGCAAGATGTTGACCACTGAAATTCATCTGTTTCCACTACTTCAGTTATTTGCTATGCAAAATGCAACTCGCTCCCATAATCCTCATGTAAAAAATCTGTTGAACCCAAGTAGGTGCAGTTTTATGTCTGCCCATACAATGCAGAACATGAAGTTGTTCATTCAGCTATTTTGTGCTCTTGGTTCACCCTAAACTCTATGGCTCAGGGAGGAAATATAAATAGCATGAAGAATAAATGATTTCTGCACTCACCCCCAAGCCACTAATCATTTGCACGAAGAAAAATATGCTCTCACACATGTTTAGATGATGCGATTGTATTTATGTTTCACACCCCAGCTATTAGGATGTGTTCTTGTTACTGTATTCCTGTTATATTTAGTTCTCACCTCGTTACTTTGGTTTATCTTCCACTGTAGCTCAACTCATGTTCCAGCAGGTGCCAGCTTTCACCTCAGTCCTCTTCTGCATTTATTACAAGAGTGAGGAACCTGTGGCTCTCCAGATGTTGCTAGAACTACAACTCCCATCAGCCCTCACTATTGGCTATCCTGGCTGGGGCTTGATGAAAAATTTAGTCTAACAACATCTGGAGGGCCACAGGTTCTGCATTCCTGATTTACCACCAACTTCAAACTCTCAATAAACAGTTACCCACCAGCGTGCCATGGCACTCAGTTTTTTGTTACCATATGCTTGCATGTGTAGACAGTGTGTAAGAGACCAGTGATCACAGTTATTGACCAGCCACAACGGCCATGATCTCAGAGGCCGAGCAATGTGTCCCTAAGATTATGGATGTCATCTGTGCCCAGTATCTGTGCCCTCATCACAACTGACCTTTGACATTACCTCATGTATGCCTGGGGCCAGGATGCAGGTGGCACTGTGGTCTAAACCATTGAGCCTCTTGGGCTTGCTGATTGGAAGGTTGGCAGTTCAAATCCGCATGATGGGGTGAGCTCCCTTTGCTCTGTCCCAGCTTCCGCCAACCTAGCAGTTTGAAAGCATGCCAATGCAAGTAGATAAATAGGTACCACTGCAGCGGGAAGGTAAATGGCTTTTCCATGCACTCTGGCTTCCGTCACAGTGTCCCGTTGCATGAGAAGTGGTTTAGTCATGCTGCCCACATGACCTGGAAAGCTGTCGTGGACAAACGGCGGCTCCCTCAGCCTGAAACGAGATGAGCACCACACCCCATAGTCACCTTTGACTTGACCTAACCGTCCAGGGGTCATTAACCTTTTTTTACCCATGTCTAGGGCCAGTCACAACAGACCTACACTTCTGGCACCTAAGTAAACACAATCTGCTAGCCCTTATTTTTGCTGTTGGTTGCCCTTGGTCATATACTGGCAGAAGCAGGAAAAAGACCTGTAAGAGAATCTTAAAACTTTTTACCTAGGAATAGTTTAAGGCAGCAGGACCATGTACTGATCCCACTTTTGTGGCAGTGTAAACGGCACTGAGTCAGCCCGTGTGTGTGCAGACAAGATGCTTAATGAGTGCACCTCAGAGTGCACATTATGTAGGTCAGTATCATGAAGGTAATGATACCTAGGAAGCACAGGAAGCCAACTTATACCAAGTCAGAATATTGGTCTCTCTAGCTCAGTATAGTCTGCAATGACTGGCAGCTGCTCTCCAGGGTTTGAGGCAGGATAGAATCTGGGATGCAAAACAGATACACAACTAGTGAGACTTGACTCTTCCTATTTTCTTACTCTAAAGGGCATCCAGAGCAGATCACAAATCTGGGGGGGCGGGGGGCGGACGGACCATATAATAAAGCCATCACTATAATAAATAATTATATAACAACGGAGCAATAAACCCAAACATACAATCAGAGCTGAAGAGATTTCAAACCATGTGTTAAAACACCATCTAGAAATACAGAGCAAATTTTCGAAAGGTAAAATCATATAGAGGTTTAGAGTGTTCATATACATTATCTAAGTAATCCTAGCAGCAACCCTGTAAGGTAGGCAGGTCAGGTCAACAAACACCAGACACACACAACCTTTTTTCTGCACAGTAAACAACACTTAGTACAAATGGATATTGATCTCAGATGGGGCTTCAAAACTCAGGCAAGCAACAAAGCATTGATTCTGAACAAGCCGGCCAACAAGATGGCTTCATTGTTTCGTTGCAAGTTTTTATATTATTATTTGCCAGGAACAGGAGGAAGAGATTTTCTACCATTTAAAGAGCTTACATAAAAGACAGCTCGAGTCCTTATAGCTGTATATTCTCTTTAATTAGTTTGTGCAACAGTGTATTTGCATGGGAAGAAGCGGAGCGTGTGCATGGACTTAATTAGGAAAACAATACGTTCCCTCTTAAGATAATGAATTGGGGATTATGGAAATTATTATGCCAGATCCAGCCACGGGTTAGCTGAGGTTCAGTATCCGATAAACTTTTAAAATACATTAAGGTCAGCAGCTCCAAGGCTGTCAGCAAAGTCACTTGATACCACTCTCGCTTAAATGAGTAATTACAGGGAGAGCCTGCATCTGGCATCTAAGTTACACAACACACAGAGCACAACAGGCCACAGCAGCGTAGGCGTTGCGTTCAACTCTCCTGTCAAGGATGAACCTTTAATATCCGTATCTCATCTTCCTCTATCTATACATCAAAGAGCACAGTCACAGAGTAAGGCCTCTTGAGCTCAGTGGAGCGTACTTCCCGGGGAAGCGCTACAGGGTCACATCCTTAATTGCTCAAATTGCCAAATGCGACTTAAGCCTAGTTCTGTAAGCCTGTGGGAACACAGCAAGCTGCCTTATACCGAGTCAGAAAAATAGTCAAATCTAGCTTGGTATTATCTGCCCTGCCTAGCAGTGGCTCCCCAGGTTTTCCAGAAAGAAGTCTTTGCCATCCCTACCTATAGATTATGGAACCCTCATACCCTTCAGGTGTCCTGATTTTCCTGGGACGTTCCAAGAATTATAGAAACCATCCCAGATTCTGATGTGATCCCAGAGCGTCCCGTTCCCCCCATCCAAATGCTGCCACCACTGAGCTCGGGGAAGAGGATGAGCCGGTGCTTGTGCTTGCAGTGGAACCCTCATGCGCAAGGGAGGCGGTTCCCCATCAGAGCAGAGGTGACGGACACACCAATGTTCATGCTTTAAAGCTCCATGTCCTTGAGCGCTAGGTCACTGAGTTTTAAAGCGCAGGCCTGTGTCTGGAAAGAGCTGGGCAAAAGGTAGGCATGGATGAGCCCTAAAAGCCACATGAGGGGAAAGGAAAAGGAGAAGAAACATCTCTCAATAGCTTCAAATGGATCCTGTTTAACAAACACGGTAATTACACCCTGTTATTTGCCGTTGTTCACATGCCCTGGAATGATAAGCAAATTTTATGTTCAAACGTACCGAGCAAGAATTAAGCAGGGTGGTTCAGAAGCTATGACAACAAGGCTCAGAGAAACCATTACACATGATATTGCTATTAAAATAAAGTAAAAGAGTGGTTTTGGAAGGAGTCAGTTCAGCACATACCTTCCATTAAAAAAGCCTTTGGCTCAAGGCGGTCATTTGTTTAACATGCACAAAAAATCTGCATTTCACAAGCAAGAGGGGGAGAAACTTCAGGAGGGAGCTGAACTTCAAAGGAGCGCTTTGTGGTTTTAGGCATCTCAGGCTAGCAACTAGAAGCTGCAAAGCCCCCTCCTCTCTTCTCTAGACATGGAGAAGGAAACAACATCAGCACCAAAGGAACAAACTGGAAAGAAGGCATCTTTTACGTAACATAGATGGTTTCAGAGTTCAAGAGGCAGTTTGCATGTGTGTCAGAGGACAGGGACACCTGGGTTTTTAAATGAGCACTAGTGGGCAGGATGCATTCATCTGAGATTCTTTATATTGAGTGAGACCACTGATCCATCTAAGCTGGTAACGTCTACTCTGGCGGTGGCTTTCCGAGGCCTCAGGCTTTCCCAGCCTTGCTAGCTAAGACCTTTTTAATTGGATAATTGAAGTTTCGAATCTTATTCAAAAAGGCATCTGGTCCCATTGATTCTTTCCCCAAACCACCCTGCTCCCCCCACATCTCATGATGACTATCTAAAAGGAACAAAGTGAATTTGGGTTAGCATTTCTATTGAAATCCACCAGTAGCAGAGTACATATCAAAATACATGGCTGCATCGAATCAGAATACCTGTAACGTTTAAGCATCCAGGGCGTGGTCGAGCATTTTCAGCCGCACACAAGCAAGCATGTTGTATTCTCAAAGTGTCTTTATGCTTACAGTATCCGGCCCCTTCCATGCTGAACCTCCTCCAGTATCACTT